CGTCTATGCCATTCTCGGAACATGAGATCCAAGTTCCATCTTCTGTGAAGACCTGGTGCACTTGCTTGGGCCAGCTCGAATGTGACAGGCCTAGACGGAGAACCACCGTGCCCAAGTCCACTCCAGCAGACTTGACAGTGTTTTGCCATCGGACCCGTGTAAGCGGGAGCGGAGTGGGTGGATACTGCATAAATCTCCCTCACAACAGGCAAGGTCACACGCCGGTGCTGGGCCTACTCCGTGGGGAACGCCCGATACAGTCGAATTATCAATTCGAGTGAGGATTGGCATCTATGACAGAGGCGAAAGCCAAAACAATGTAAGCATTTAGATCACGTGATCCGCCTCGCTCTGCCGTGGTGGCAGTCGGTGAGGCAAATAACCGCATTCACTCATCCGTGACTTCATTCCTCTGAGCAATAACTAGTTCTTCCTGATGTACCAACTTAACAAGGCTCGACGAGGTCTCGTTGTAACCAAAATTCGCTCACCTATGCCACTTTAACTTCTCTCCACCCTCACATTAGGTCCATCCATACATTCGGGCAACATTCCCCGCTATTTATATACTCATTTAGCCCAATCGTCATAGGTTGTTTTCTAGCTGAGTCGTTAGTTTGATGAATCTCAGGTGATCATGGCGAATTGAATGGATCATTCAATTTGAAGTAATTAAATCATGTTTTTCACCATCTCCGCTCTATTAACGAATATCCTCCTCTTACCTTAAACTTTTGAAGTCCTCTCTGCCGCATACCGCGCTTGAACTAATGTGATCACAGCGTTCTGTTGCATGGAAACATGCAGTGTTAGAAGAGGTCCAACTTGTGTGAAGTGTACTTTTAGGTACTGCCCAATCCCCGCACCAGATGACTCGCAAGTTCAAACAATTAAGGGGTACGTGGGAGAGGAAAGGGGGACTGATGCCGACACTGGGAAATTCATCCCACCATATTTAAACACGCTCCAAACTATCCAACCGGCTTAACTTTATCTCAACGCAGTAAAAATCGTGGCTTTAAAGGTTATAAACTGACGGGATAACTCGGTTCTCGTAATCAGTACTGTGTGTGTATATGTGAGCTGGTTGGCTCGAGGACTGAGAGTTAGACCGCACTGGTTCCCTCTTACTGTGACATTTAAGCTCATGAATTTCGAGTCACTCTCAAGGAAGCCTAGTAGGTCCTGTGGGGACCGACATTTGGACCGCCGATTTCGACTTTGTCCACCGCATGCCTCCCAGCAGGGTGCTGCAGGAACGGTGACTTGCGCGTGGCTTACTTTAAAGTGATAGTAGTCTTGCGCTACATCTACCGCACTCTCTCTTCCCTTACCCACCTCTGCCCGGTGTCAAGACGGAGTCAAGAAGACCAAGGGCGGGATCAGGCGTAGGTGGCTGGCACAGTCAAAGCCGCCCCCTATGCGTACCATCACGCCCCCCTCACCCTATGCTCGGCAGTTTTTATCAGCGCACATCCCAAATAATGCCTGCCATACCCTAATCTGGCCCCCATGATGGGGGACTCCCCTGGAGACCAGATCGCGTGTGGCACGCATAGACGTCTTATTTAGCCTTGTAAGCGACTGTGCTCAATCCCGTGCTTCGTCGTCTTTACTCTGTCTGAACAGCGGGTTCAGATGAGTGCTACGTAAAGCTGTCTCATTGTAGACTAGTTAGCGCGTAGGTCATCGTCCTGCGCCATCACGTGGGGCGCATGGCGGACTTCCGCGTCCGCAATGTGAAGATTGCCAAAAAATTAGCCTTCATGGTTGATGAGACCGATATACAATCTTTGTACAATGGTGCCTTTTGGTAGCGAGTCATCTAAGCTGCCTGCAGCCCGTCATCATCATCAAGCAAAATGACTTCTTCTCTGATTTACTGTCGCGTGGCTGGCGTGCGAGAAAACGCCATCGTTACTGACAGTAAGAATAAGGCCGATTGTCTGGTTCATATCACCAGCAATGGTGTGGAAATTACGGCATCTAACGGCTCGGCTGCGGACAAGTCAGCAATCCCCATGTACAGCAGCGCCGTTTTCTATGAACGGTGGAGGTGGCTAGTTTAAAGCAGTACCCACTGAATATGACACTTTCTTTGCACCCCCCACCTTCATCGGTTTCTGTCTCAGGCGACAGGTTTAAAATGGAATCCGGAATACCACAGAGAATCCTGTTGCTCTATTTTTTTTCAACATTATCACGTCCTTCTCCGATAAACACTAGACGTTCAATGCGCACAGTAAACTAGTTATTGGTAGACGGGCGCTCACCGATCGGTACTGATGTCACTTGTTCCGTTATGCCTTGGGACTCGCTCTGGAGCTCCGCCAGCGACCATTCAACGGCTAGCATACTGTAGGCAGAAATACATTACCAAGAAAAGCAAGGGAGACTGGAATGGCCAGTTCTGGCGTATTAGCCGTCATCAGCCAGTCATACCCAACCTCAGTAGTAGCGACCGCGGGCTTGAACCCGCGACCTTGTTATCTAGGAGTCCAATGCTCTACCCGCCTATCATTGGGTATATTGCCGATCGAAACCGGCAAAGCAAAGAGCCCGCGACACAGTGGTTAGGGGTTTGGACTTCTAACCAACAAGGTCACCTGTTCCAGTCTCGGGGTCGCTATCCTTGGGTTGGGTATTGCTGACTGATGACGGCTAATAAGCCATAAATGGCCAGTCTCCCTGGTCCTTGTCGGTAATGTACTTCTGCCTATAAGACCAGCTATTTCCCTAATTCGCAGCCATATTCACCTTCACGTAGCTCGCCATTTTTAATCTTCTCTCAGACAATACACGCATTTTATGAAGTAGCATTTTAATCCAATAACAAAGGATAGCATCGGTTTTGGGAGGAACCCTCATTAACAAGAAGCTAGTATTCGCATCAATTCTCTGTATTCGACCTTTCATTACATATAGCGAGATGACCACTGAAAATGCATTCACTATTATGGATCTCACCGGAGACACATTCCCTAGTCTTATGGGTGATCATACATTTGTCAAACCCTATTCGGCTTTCCAGTCTGTACAGGCCGAACTGGCTCAGATACATTCAGCCTTCAACCCAGAGGATGGAGGCGCCAGCGTGGGCGTCGCTTGACCATTAATTTCTAAATTGATTACGGAATGTAAGACATTTAGATTTTGACTTTTAATTAAAGCGTCAATTGTGCTGTTGAAGCTCACTAACCTTAAGTGATAAGTGCACAAATATTACTGAACCTTCAGAATTAAACGTTTATAGTTATTCTAAGTTATAGTGTTCATTCACCTAAACAGACTAACTAGGTCAATATTACAAAGGATTATTAAATTTTGATACGCAAAACTGCATTTTTAATAATTCTGTCAGCAGCAAATTCTAGATTGCACGTTTAGCATAACACCCAGGACGTTCAGCGTCAACTACTGCTACTTCTTTTACCATCCATTTCTTATGTACGAATTATTAAAAAACATTACTTATAGCATGCGATGGACGTCATTGTTCGCGATTATGAACTGTCAAAATTGCCAAAAGATCGCCTTCTTGTTAAATAAAACCGATGTTAAATTTGTATACATTATGGTGTCTTTTGAACTTGAATTTCCGTTTTTGCCTTCCAATTTACCCTCGGACGATTTCCAACTTAAATGCTGGGCTTTCTTTGCCTTCATAATGAGAGATTGCTCTTTGCTTTTCCATGCAAATTACTGACTACGTCCGCAGGTCCCCGAAAAAAAGAGAGTTTGTTTGCCAACGGCCATTTCAACAATAATGCAATTTGCATTTTCTAAATAAGACTACCGTACCTATAGAGCTTTAACACATGACTAGCTATATTCACCTCCTTCCCCAGTACTGATTCCATTGCATTCATTGGAGAAGGGTATCGGTCCACGCAGAGAAGGAGCTCACCTTGGTGAGCTTCTGTGTAATTACATCCTCCTGATTGCCTCTTTCGTAACTTTGGAATTAAGATTAATATTTCTAGCTGAATTTCCTTTATTAAACAGTCATTTTCCAACTCCAAGTTCTACAACTGTGATATCTGAACTCAATTACGCTGATCAAGAAACACTTTTGGTCAAATGTTCCCCCACTTGAACCACGGGCCCTCGCCCCATCGAATACGATTGAAAATATCAATGGTAGCATTGGTGGATGGGCGCTGACCTAGTAGTTATGTGACACACTTCCCGTTATGTCTTGGGGCTTACTCTCGAGTCTGGTCAGTAGCCACACAGCTTCCAGTAGTATAGACAGACGATCAGTTCCGACGAAGGCAAGGGTGACCGGAATAGTCATTTCTGGCTTATTAGCCGTCATCGGTCAATCCAACCCAACCCCAAGTGATGCACCACCCGAGGCTTGAGCTCGCAACCTTTTGGTCAGAAGTTAAACGCCCTAGTCATTAAGCCACGGGCGCGCTGTCTTGCCGGTTTAGATCAAGAGATATTGACACTCGTCGATGAACGTTTACTAATCGCTACCGGAACTCATTTGTCCAGCTTTGCCTTGGGGCGTTCGGTGAACGTTGCTTAACGAGTTTCAATATTCCCGATGAAAACCGGTAAGACAGCGAGATTGTGGCTCCGTGGGTTAGAGAGTTGGACTTCCAACCAAGAGTTTGCGGGTTCGAGCCTCAAGTGGTGTACCACCTCGACTTGGGTATGACTGGCTATTAAGCCATAAATAGCCATTCCATTCTCCCTGGTCTTTGTCGGTCCGAGAGACATTTTTCGACAGACGGCTGGTGTGGGATAAAA